GCTACTCAGCTCTGGATACTTAGTGTCACAAGTGTAACATTTGTGAAAGTTGCTCTTTCTCATCTCAAGTAACAATTATTTTCAATTTAATGTTTCTATATAAAGACATACCCAGGGAGTGCCAATGGGTTCCCCTCTCTCACCTATTTTGGCAGAGCTCATCATGAGGAATATAGATAAATATAGTATTTTCAACACTCCTTTGTCTATCTGCTATCCAATCCTGTACTTGTGATATGTAGATGATATCTTGCTACTTGCATGGGGATGGCTCTGTAGATGAATAAGACAGCTTTATTCATATGTTAGCTTCTATATATCCATCTATCAACTTTACTCTGGAGGAAGAAGGAAAAACTAAATGCCAAAATTGTGGATCTTGTATTTGCTATTGATATATATTTTTATATAAAGCTAGATTGGTCTTATCTGATATAAAATGTTTGAGAGAAATTGGAAAGGTAACATACTTTACAAACTGTGTGACAAAGTTTAATCCTTGCCATCTCATAAAATATAGTTGCACCTAATCTTGTATGAAATTGAGAGATTGGATTCAACTAATTAATTATAATAAGCATTTTTGAGGTGGAGCATTACCGAAGCCTCTTCTATGTGGCTTATAAAATTTCATTTTATCTCAAAATTTCATCAATTGATTTTGATAAAACTTGGCCATTTTCCATTAATTGTGATGAGGAATGCAAATATGTAATAAGGGTCCATTTAAATATAAAATTAGGACAATATACTTTGGTGTCAAAGTGGCAATGTCCATGCTCCCTGATGCAACTGAATGCCTAATGGAATTTAGGGATCAAAAATAAAAACAAAATTGCATGTACCTAATGGAAAATAACCATGAAAAACAAACAAAACACAATTCTCTGGTTGCTTCTCTGTATTTACAAGTGCAAGGTTGCCTCTTTTGTGGCTGGCAGATACAAAGATAGCCTTTTTTCTGGCAGCAAGTGCAAAGTTAATCTGTCCAGGTGTAAGGATCACTTCTTTCTTTCTGGCTTCACCTCAGTTCTATTATAATACAACAAAATAGCACAATGTCCTAGTTAAAAATATGCAAATGATAGTTTTCATATTTTTAAAGATATTTATTATAATTAATTAGCTCTTACATTATTTTAAATTACAGTATAAGTAAGTAAATCTAACATTATTTATAAAGAATAATTATAGTAAAAACGAATAAAGTGCTGTGAAACATCAGAATTGCTGAGGACACTCAAGAGCAGAACAGTTTTCAGCAAATATAGTTTATATTTAAGTTAATTTATAGATTGTAGATAAAAATAAAAACGAAACTGTTTTAATGCAGTTACTCAGTTAAGATGATAGATACTATCATTATTATCGTCGTTGTTGGAATGACGTTTTGTTGTTGTTAGAGACAGGTTTGCTGTTTAGCAATTATATTAATGATCAGTGTTATTGACTTGACATTTCTCTTCCATATTTGTTACAATTTTTATTACCATTTATAGCAGGAAACAATGTTATATATTAGTACTATAAAGAAATTGTTTTGGATAATAATATATATATATATTATAGGGGTGTTTATATGCTAATTGATTTGTTTTATTGGAAGAAAAATTATTGACCAAATTTCTGGAAAGTGTTTATGATGAAAATGATGTAAAACAAAAAGAAATCTTTATATGGAATTCTTTATATGGCTTTAGGAATTTGTGTTTTCTTGTTTAACATAGTTACTGTACCATAGTCACTACATCTACTGTGTTGCTAAATGCAATGACTTGGCAAAAGTCTCCACATCTTTGTACAATACTTACGACAAGAATTTTTAATTGGTATGCAAAAAATATATTGCCTGTAGAAATATACAAAATTAATCATTATCCTTGTTTTAAATCTAGTTTATCTGTCAAAAAATTCTAAAATTTTAAATTGTTTAAATTAGTATAGTGGTTATTAACATGAAAACGGTTTTTTTAATTTACTTTAATAAATACTGTAATTACTTTATCAATCATTAAGTTGTAGTTTCGAAAGCATCCAGTGCAATTTCTGGTATTAGGACTGATCAAATGATTAACTGTTGATTTGCTCTGTAGTTCTACAGCTTTCAAATGCCAATAACAGTTTGATTTTAAAAACATACATGAACATATGCCAACAGTTGGTCAACAGAATTATGGGACATCTTGTATTTTTAGAACTTGTTTTTATATGCATTTTATAACAGAGATGATTATATAGTGCACTGCTTTAGGCATCAATAGAGTTTATACAATTCTAAAGTTTATTGTTTAATTAAAAATAATTAATATGATATAAATATAAAAATATTTTACATATTCATCATTTCTTTTTTGGATTCAGCATTATATATTGTGGTTAAATTTATGTAACTATAGTTTTGACTGTGAAAGACATACCTATCTATCTACCGAGGATGAATCCAAATGTGAAAGGGAAAGTAGGTAGAATGATGAAAAATTTTCAAGATTTTTGTCTGTTTCTGAATGCTTAAGGAAAAACATTCTTTGAACTACATTTTTCTTTTTAAATATGGTATTTCCTGACAATAATAAAGTGGGTTTAAACCTCTTCGTTGATTAAACTTACATTGTTTTAATTGAATTTTTTAACCATCACTGCTATTTTATCACTGGATTCGACCAATTAGTGCATGTGCACTTGTATTGATGATCATGTGTAAGGCAGATGAATTATATCACAATCCGAGCTTTGAGATGTCACTACATCAGGAGTGATGGCAGTGGCTCCCCACCAATTAAAAATTCACTGACTTACTACAGGAATCATAGTTGCTGATTTTTGGGATTTGATTTTTCTGTTTCCAAACACCTGGAAGTAATTCCAAATATCTCATTTGAAAGAAAATTGTTTTCTTAGGTAGTGTTCAAAATTTCAACATTTTCTGTAATGCAGTTGCCGAAATATAAGTAAATGAAAAATGCAAAAATTGCTAAAATAGCTGTATTTTCTTCTTTTTCTCCTCCTCCTTTTTTCCTCATCTGGAACTGCAGATGCTAATAGAGAAAAAACTACTGGATCTAGAAAACTCCGATTTTAAACTTAAGCTTTTATCATTTTCAGTGATATGCTGGCAAAACTTTTGGATCAATAAGTCAAAGTTTAAGTGGGTTTTTCATAGAATTAATGCAGTATTTTGGCTTAATTTTATGCTTTAAAGATAATATTGCGAGGAAATAAATAGATTTTATCCAAAATGTTACTCAGAATAATAAAAGCTAAAATATATGCAAATTAAAACTTCTTATAATGATTTTTAAGCAGCTTATTGGAAGCATCTGTCAGCACCAACAGAAATGAATATTGAAAGCGTTTGGTTGTCAGTGCATTTGATTGGTGGTATGTTCAGTTGCCGAGTGCCAACCAAATTGTACTGTACATTATCATCATATGTCTTGATGTAATAGTACAATTATTAAACAAAAACAATTGATATTCAAACAAAAACATCTGAGAAGTAAAAAAATTAAGCCAAGTAAAAATTTACAACAATTTAGACAATGGTAAAAATTTTTCTTTGGTAAAGATGAGCTTGGAAATGGTACTCACAAGAATTTTACCTGTATTATTGTTTTGTACATTTTGCTTCCAAGCTCCAAGCTTATTTTTACCAAAGAAAAACTCTTAAGAAAAGTTTTGACTGTCGTCTAAATTGTCATAAATTTTAACTTGCCATAATTTTTTTTACATCTTACATTTTTGTTTGGATTGGTAATTTAATCAGTTAACTATATAATTTGGTCTAAAGATGGATAGTTAGGCCACTGTCTTGTACTAACATTAATTATAAATAATTTTTGAATTAATTGAATAATTTAGAAAGATCTAGAAGAAACGATTGACATGGAATGCAACTTAAACTCTCAACCTCAGCTTACTGTGCAGATATTGGATCTCTGTTTGATCTCTGCTTCCAAATATATTTTAATTTGAATCATATAATTATAAGTTCAATTACTGCACATATTTTAAATTGATTCTACATCCATTATATTCATATACATATTATTTATGACTTCTCCAATCTTTTTTCATAATCTTACCTTCAAATTGTTTTTGTATTCGTTCTTTATTTCTATTTAACTCATTTCCAAGTGATATTATTCATTTATATACTATCATTATGTATCAGTGTTTCTACCTTTTGAATTTAATTATAATTTAAAATATGGAACAATAGGATAAAATAAGAAAATGATTTGTATTTTAGAAGGTGTTTGGTATATCACTATTAGAAAAGCAAATGAGATGTCTAGTCAAATAGCTGCATGAAAAATGGCATTGAGAGAGATGGTGTTATAAGCATCAACAATACATTTCTCCTAATGTGTAACACTGAATTTTTAGTGATAGATCAATACTTCAAGTGATGCTGGAGATAAAAAACTGATAGGAGTGAGATTAGATGCTTGCTAGTTATTCTATAGGCACTAAAGATTATTTGGTTTAGTCTATGATTTCAAACTTATGAGACATCTTGTATTTGTAGAATTTGTCTTTATATACAATTTAAAACATTGGTGCAGGGGTAGATTTAGGGAGTGTACAAGACACAGCAGCACCTTTCTGGGTGTTGTTTGCAAGTAAAGCATATATTAAGTCACCTTTTAAATAGTAAAAAATTTTGTAAGGCATATTGTTTCCTTTCTGCAAACCCTCTGAAGATTTCTGGATCTGCTATTGCTCTGATGATAATATAGTGCACTATTAGAAACTTCAGATATAAATAAATAATTATTGTTTCATGGAAATTATTGTTTGTAGTATAATACATGTTTATATTGCTTTTTAAACTAATATTTATGAGAATTTCAAACAAATCTATTGATTCATTTCATTAATAGTTGCATAGAAATGAAACTTAGCTGTAATTTTACATCATATTTTATAATTTTTGTAGGATTAAATCTAAAAATACATAATCTTCTTAAGTTATATAAAATCTTATTTTTAATTTTTAGGTGAATCAGTTCGTTCTGCAAAGAAAGAAATGCATTCTTCCATTATGAATCACGTTGATGAAAAACATAAACAAACCAAGAAAGATAATAAAAGGCCAGAAATACAAATCTACAGACCCGGTATGGGATTGTGGAATAAAAATAATCAAAAATTTGATAACACTAATCAAAAGTTAGATGCCAGCTTACAAGATGAAGATGCAAAATATAATCATATTGATAAACAGAACATGAATCATATTGGTTTAGAATTATTTGATAAAAGTGATCTAGATAAATCGTCACCTGAAAGTGATAATTCAAGAAAATTGAAACTGAGACGACCAGATAGAGAAGTTTATGTTCCTCCTAAACCTCGAGTGGTAGCTCTTCAAGAAGTGGGTAAACCAGATGAATCGAGAGTCATAGCATCAAAGAAACTGGACAGAGATTTTGATAATGCCATTAAACAAAGTGAATATTTTTCATCAAAAAAATATTCTACAGGTCATAAGAGAAATAGGTCTGTGAAGATGGGTAGTGATACTACACCACCTCTAAGAGATCATTCTAAGGAGAAGGGAAGTTTTGCTAAGTCTCACTCAGTTTCTCTGGATGAGTTAAATGATGATAGATATAATTCAAACTGCAATAATAGTGATAGTAAAATGGTTAATAATACAAATTCTAAAATGTTTTATAAAGGAAATTTTAATAAAAAAGGACACTATACTGGAAAAGTTAATTTGTATAAAGATGAATATCGGTTTGATGACACAGACGAATCTTCAGAAATTCATGATAAATTGAAAAATAGTGATAAGAAGATGTATTCAAAGTCAAGAAGTCGTAAAAGTTATTCACCAAAATCATCATCATATTCCAGTTCCACTAATTTAGTGAATAATCACATTAATCATTGTGAAGAAGATTGGGACTCTGAACTTATATCAGTAGAGAATTTATCTACAAGAACATTTAGCCAGGAAGATTTTCATCGTTGCAATGATATTAAGGATTTAAACTGTGAGGAAAATAATGCCGGATTAGACAGTAATGTAAGTGAATCATCTGATGTCTGTGATCATTCTGAGATGGTAACAAACAAAAAACATACTCAGAGTAAATTAGGAAGTAAGTGCAAGGGTAAAGGTAATCAACGGAAACAAGAATCTAATCACAATGTTAAAAGCACAATTTCATCACCTTTAAATAAAGAAAATCCAGATAATTTAATTGAAAATGATTTATCTTATTCTCCAAGAATTAGGGATTGGAGTGAAGAAGTGGAAGCAAATGAAAAGTTTCAGTCTTTAATTGAAAATACTCAAAATACTAAGTCACCTGATAAGTCGAGACATGTCAGGTCAGAGAACACTAGTAGCAGTAAAAATAAAACTGATTTTAAGTCGCACAAAAATGACAACAAACCTAACACTTTGACTGCTAGTAATAAAAGGCTGTCACGATCTCCAAAAGAGAAGAAGCCAGATCAGAACGTTCCTCCGAGGTTTAAAAAGTTGAATAAGTCACCAAAGTCCGATAGCCCCGAGGATAAAACAAAAGAAATTAAAAGTGGTGGTATTATTAGAATTCCTACGGATTCTTTTGTATGTGAGGAGTCTCAACAGATACCTTTGCCAGAAAGAAATTACAACAAATGTGAACAGTCATGTATTGTTCAGAAACAATTGTTTGATCCTAATAATCCAGATAAACCAGTTATTGTGATGAAACAGCAACCGGTTATGTATCCACCAAAAAACCCCAATATAGAACCATTTGGTATTGGAGGACAATATCCAATTATATCTTCACCTCAAAATCAGTTTGGATGTGGAGAAATAGTAGCTTCATCTCCCCTAGTTCAGCAGATGCCTCCTGTCTACTCATATCCTGTTATTCAATCTTATTCTCCACAAGCATCTCCTCCCATCCTTCCTGCATGCTATGGTGATCAGCTATTACAGGATAATCAAACACGAAGGTAAATTATTAATTTAATTAGGCTTTTCAAAATATACTTTAATATAAAGTACACATAATTTACATGTATTCTATTATGTTTCTGACATTAACACAAAAATTTGGGGAATGCATAAGTCTTATTTTAAGCAGATAAATTATAATAAAATGAAAACTTTTCTACCATAAATTACAGCCTATAAGTCAACTGCAAGATTTTTTTTAGCTCAAATTTCTGGTTTTTGCTATATATTTACAATGTGAGTTGGCATCCAAAATACAGTAAGCTACCATTATGCTATAGCAGTATTTATAATAATCATATATTGGAGGATTATTAGGCTTAGAGTTGACTTATACACTGCAATTTAAAGTAATTTAAAATGTTAAATCTAAAAACAAAATATCTCTAGACTGTTAAAGAGTAATAGTAATATACACTTTATATTCGATTTCGAGTAATTTTTCAAGGCAAACAAACTGAATAACAATGTATACCAGACCATTATTTCAACTTTTTTCAAATATTCCATGTTAGAAGTTTAATATCGATCCCATTTGTTTTATTTTTTGAATTTATATTTACAATAAAAATTTATATATAATGCATGAAGAAATATTTTCATTAGATAAATTATAAACAATGGCATTATTATTACTTTTTTAATCCTTAAATTTATCAAAAATAAAAACTTAAAAACACCAGCTTACATTTGAAAAGATTCTTTATTTAACATGTGTTCTTGGAAGTTTTTTGGCTTTACTCATTTTGTAATCATTGATTTATTACAATGAAAAAAAATGCAATACTCTTGCTAATGTGCAATTGCACTAATATGAACCAACTTTTTCCACTTAATACTCCAGTCAACAACAAAAAGAAGCTGTAGATTATTTTTTTTTATGTAATAAAAGAACAACTATCTCTCAGCATTAAAACTCTAACAAAAATAAAATATGTATACCGTACTTATATCTCTCTTCTCAGCTTTCGGTACATAATGAACTATAGTTTGTTGCTACAGCAGTGATCAGAGCAGGATACTCTTGTGCCAGTTTTAACTATATCAATTCTTTACTCCAAAGATCACTCTTCTGGCCATCAACTTTATACACTAAAAAAAGATATTTCAGAAACTGCTCATCAAACTGCAGTTACTGTATTCTTGTGCAGAATTTTTTATAATGACAGAGATAGGTATTTGCAATTGGAAAGATCTGGTATTTGTATGATTCCTTTGCAACATATTACAAGGGAACCACTACCAGAAAACTTGTTAACTCTCTCATGGAACATCAAAATGACATTATAAGAAATAGATTCTCTGTGGAACCTACCAAGAAGGCATAATTATGTTCCATTAGGATCAGAATCATCATTATTGAAACATTGCATGGACCAGGGAATCATATTTCATATTTATCTGGGAACCTTTGTATATAACCTTTGATCTACCAGAACTGTGAGTGACTCTTTATATTACTAAAAACTTAGTTTATGCTATGGTGTTGTCATCCAGTTTGTATTTAAAATTTATTGTTTTTGATTTTTATAGTTATTACAGAAAACTATTGTTCTTACTGCTTTTCTGATATTTAAAAACTAGCGCTATGTTATTGTGTTCCTTTACATTTAATCAGTTTTTTTAAAATTGACAAAGAAAGTTAAGAATTTATGAAAAAAAATTCATTTGATGTTCCATTCTATAAAAATTTTTTGCCTGATGAAGATGGTAATGCACTATCAAAAGTACTTGCATACATATTTTATCCTTGTAAAAAAATTTTTAATGCTAAAGACAGTTGTTTTATTTTGTCTTATGTAATTTCATATCAAGTGTGTGTTCAATTTTAATATTATTTTTTTAAAATGTGATGCATTTTTAAAATACATTTTTACAGAAATATATTAAGTATACTATGAAACTGGATGAGATTACAATAAAAGCATAAACTAATACCTGTAATCCAGTTAAAAGGAACTGATTTATTATAAGAACAAACGTTTTCAACTGTCTTTAACAGCCATAATCAGGTTATAAGATGTTACATAAAGCAAAATTTAAATAAAATACATTTGATTATGAGATAGGAATAGATGAATATGGGAATAGATGAATATCTTAGAGTAAAAAGGCAGGCTTGAATTTATCTAATTATCTTTGTAAGTATTTATTAATCTTTTCTATATATCAGATTGTATATTCAAGTCATGCTTCAGCTATAAATATTTGCCTGTTATAATAATGATTTATTACTTTATACGGATAATTGAATAAAATACTTCAATATATTCAATCATTGTAGAATATTTTATTTCAGGAATTCTATAAGCTATTATGTATAAAATATTTAATTTGTTAAGTTAAATCGAAAATCGATGCAAGTTTATATTATAATGTATAGTGTGGTGTGATGGATGTATGTTAACTTTTTTTTCTTTTAGAGTTTTAAAAGTATTAGAATAAATTTGAAAAATACTAAAAATAATTAGATATTAAACATTTTATTTGGAGAATGTTATGTCATGAGCTGCGGGAAAACCTCAGAATTCGTGTGAAAAGATAATATGACAATATTCAATAGAAATAACTTTACATTAGTTATTTATTACTGGCCAAAGATTGACTTCAATGCTATCCCAAGAGTGGCAAGAGAACTTCATCTGTACAAAATTTAAATTTTAAATGCATGGTCAAATTGTTCATAAGTCTGAATGTTTGTAAGCAGGGAATCTTCTCTGTTTTAGTATAAGTTTAAGTTGGTGTTAAGATTTGAGTCAGAATTCATACATTTTTACTGATTCCAGCATCATTTAAAATTACTTTCAACTTTGTGGCTGTGCTATGAACATTTAGGACTTGTATTTGCTAAAATCCCTTAGAAGTTACTCTCTGCATTGGTCTTTATGAATAAAGTCTATCTACTGTTAATAATTAGTAATAGCTAATTTGAGTTTTATGATTGAATAGAGAAGAATTCCATAAAAATGTATTTTTTTTTATTTGATTCTAGAGTATGTAAATCTTTTTATGTTAAAATCAGTTCTTGGAAAATTGTTAAGTGAACTATTGCACTTCCCTTAGACTTTCATAAATTAATATTACTTTACTAGTAATGTTGTTTGAATTATACATTCATTGATGAGAAATGTTTGGAGCTCAGATAGAATTGTTTGATTACTTTAAAACTCTGCATATAGCTTATGTTTCAGGCAGGTGTGTAAATGATTACAGTTGTGATCTGATTGCATGCAAGGTAATGCTTGTAAATTTCCTTAAAATTGCTATCTGAATATCTTACTTAAGAAAAAAATTTTTAGAGATGTACTGTGTTTTGGAATTTTCAGTATATCTATTGTTCTGAGGTCGTCCAACTCATGCATGCCTACACAGCACAGCCAAACAGCTTAGGAAGGTTGCTTACTGATTTTCCCCACATCTGGAATGTTTTGACCTTGCTGAAAAAATATGGGACACACACACACCAAGCAGACTCTGGACATTCCAGACAGACCACCAGTAGTTGGGTGCCTAGACAATAATAATCAAAATTAAATAAATGCTGTTTACAAACTGCTTTAAGCTACTTTTTAAAATTTGAATTAAGTGTATTTTGGGATTAAAACAAATATATAACATCAGCTACTCAAAACTGGTTATATGTAAATAGACACTGCACATATAACCAATATCCAGCAAGAAGAAACTACAAGAAAGCAAATGTTTTCATCTATGTTTAACAGACATCATCAGGCTAACTTTGCAGTTCATGTGAATACAACTGTTAAATCAAACAGTTCAGATAGAAAAGTTACTGGGAATAGATGAATATTGTCTGTGTTAAGAGGGGTGATGTAAGATTAAACTTCATAGATTGACTTCCATACAGGAGAAAGAAGTCTACATTTCTAAAGTTCTCCAAGATAGCTGCATTGTTTCTCACAGCTTTGTAAATTTCTAGTTGTTCTAAATATCTAAGTCAAGGCTAGCAAACCTATGATATGCATGCTCAAAGTAGCATATCTACATGTAACATATATGATTTTGATTTATAATATGTCTTTTTTTTATCATCCTTTTGGTTTATCACCCGAACATCCTTTCTTCAATCAGCTTTTTTACATTTATTCTAATTAAAGCCTATTCATTTAATTAATTTATTTAAATATCGTTATTTGAAATCCAAAACTTTGGCATGCATAAACATCTTTAAAGCTAAGTATGCTTACTATATGACACATGGGCTCAAAAAGGTTCACTACTCCTGATGTATGATGTTCTTTGTGGGGAATGTTGCATATGAGGCATGCTTTGTCAAAATGTACATCTGTGTTAGAGTCAGAAGCAAAGGTTGCTAAATGCAGTGTTTGCCAGCCCCTCCAAGATGGATGTCCAATGTTCTTTGAGGCAGATGTTTAAAGGTCACTCTGTAGCACCCATGTATTCTAAGTTGCAATTGTCTCTGTAATCCTTAACATGGATATTACATACACCAAGTTGGAGGCACATATAAAGATAGAGTAATTTAAAAAGTACTCGTCGAAAGTATCTGTGATACAAGAAATATTGTATTAATGCTGAACTCAATGCTCATTTTCAAGGGAGGCACATATCTGGATGGTCTAGCATTGTGGAGGAAGTTGAAAACTGGGAGACTTCTACTGAAAGCTAATTGAAAGTTATTATTTCTGGCAATTTTCTTGTACAGGGTGGCCAATCAATCTTCTGTCATTTATAACAGCTTTGTATATAGTGTCGTGGGAGCAATTGTTAGGTATGATAGAGGTGGCGGAGGAATGATGATGACTTATTCCTTTGATGGTGTTTGAAGAGTAGTTATGTTGTCTGTTATACCAGACAATAGTTTGGAGTTCCTTATTTTTATTCCTATGTCTTGAGTGTCTGGTGAATGGATGATGGCTCAACAAATTGGGGCACTGAAGCTGGCCATCATAAAGAAAAAAACAGATCATGAGAAGGGGCGAGGATTAAGATCATATGGCACATTGGCTTCCTGTAGACTTCAGTTGAGATGCATTCATTGCATAAGTTAAGCTGGAGGTCAAGGAAGTAAACTTGCTCACTGTCCTGTTCTAGGCAGAGACAGAGGTCATAGAGGTTCAGTGTTGATTATGCACCCATAAAAGAATTGAAGGAACTGCTCAAAGGAGGGCAAATGTTTGTTGCTCTCTTCCAATTTGTGCATATCGCTCAATCAAAAATAGTAGTCATGGTGGAAAAAGCCCCATGTTTGAATTTCAGGCTTTTTAAAGGTTTTTGCATCTCTGATCAAATATTCTGGTTGGTCGTAATCTCCCTCTTCCCACTTTTTAATTGGCCTCTAGTTTTGATTGCCAGGGCTATTTGGGAATGAATTCTGAGATCTGTCACATGTTGGAGATGTTAATTGAATTGTTGCTATTTCTGCTTGTAACTCAGAGTTAATTGTATTTTTTTTTTATCCCAGTTATAAATATTGCTAGCTGCACTCATGTGACCTTATTTTTCATTGAACATTTTATTTCACTGTTTTTGCACTCATCAGAGTGCAAAAACAGTGAAATAAAATGGGAATTCGACCATTACTCTGATATGAGTAATGGTCGAATTCCCATTTTATATTCTCTCACAAAATGACATTATTTTTAATGATGTCTTACCAACCAAGAACATTTTTATTTAAAACAATTTTCTCTTTTTAAACAACTTTCAGTTGAGGTTTTGGACTCCAGTCCAGACATCACACTTATTATTTATTTATAATAATTCATTACATGCAGCTACTATTTATTTCTATTTATAATTGTTTATTGATTTTTTTAAACATTTTTCTTATAGTTGTATGTTTTCTCATATGAATTTGCAAACTGTGAAATATTTGTCCATTGTAGCTTTCTTTTATAATATAAATTTCTATATTATTATATATAATAATTAAATTTGAATAAATTATTGATTTTAACTATTTCTTGAAAATATTACTGTTATATTTTATCAATAAAGCTTGTCATAATCCACCTTTAATATGTGTTTTCTAAAGAAGTGGTGACGAAAAAAGTACAATGCTGAAAGCTATAAACTAAGTAGAATGCAAAATATTTTGTTGTTTTAAAACAAATAGTTTTACTTTCCTGGCTGTTATAGCATAAAAATGTGATAGTGTCACATAATCCCCTTTGATAGTTTTTGGAATTTCAACATTTTGAGACCTGCTGAACATAAAAATCTTATACCTGGGATGTGTGTTTGTGTCTATTTTCTTTACTTTTTTAGGATGGGATAAAAATTAAACAAAATTTGGCATGGTAACTTGTATATAAGTGGCATTGATGCTATTAAATTTTGATAGTCAAAGGTCACAGGGAGGAGAGATAGAGGGGGTTGTGTGTTATATCTCAAGTTCAATCAGACTTAATGAAAATCTTGCTTTTTATTAGCATATACACTATTTTTTGAAACATGTCTCTACCCTAAAAAATTGAGTCTTTTTTTGCTTTTTTATAATACAGTAGAGCCTCGATTATCCGACTCAATTGGGGACTGGGGTTGGTCGGATAATTGAAAAGTCAGATAACTGAAAAGTATGAAAAAATCCATTATTAGTGCAGTATATTATTATATCCCATGTAATTAGTATATTAGTATATCGCTATTAACCTACTTTGCGTTGAATTTTCATCGATGTTAAGCCTAACAAAAATTTTTTGAAACGATTTTCGTCGCTATTGTATCGTTAGAAATTAGAATATTAAGCCTTGTTTAAATACTGGCTCCCTTTCATGATCGAATGAGTGTTGCCAGCTAAAACACGTAAAAATAATATTAAAGTAGTCAAGACATAGCCAAATATTGTAGCGCCACATCACTAGCGGACATTTGAAATTTGCCGACTAGGACGGTCGGTTAATCGGGGGTCGGATAATCGAGGCTTTACTGTAATTAATAATGTAAAAATTAAATTTAATAACATGTCGTAACAGACTGCGCCAGGCACAATTTTAATATTAAGAGCATTTGATATTTGTTGTAGGAACTGAGATTAATATATACACAAAGACTTTAACATATAATTTTGTATAAATTTATTTAATAGGATGAAACCTCTTGTAAAAAAGAATCTGCAAGAAATCTGGATACTCGAGAGAGACTTATCTTCGCTGCTGAGTCACGGAATAAAAAATGCAGACATGCAAGCAATTGGACAGTGCAGGTACGTGTTAATTAGTAAGTGATTATTCATATATAAAAAAAGTATTTAAAATTTTGTCTAATAATTTGGAAGTCATGATCTGTGGTTTTTAAATAGAAAAACAATAAAGGAATGAATCAGAAAAACAAAATATGTAATTTGTCTGAATTTCACATTTTTATTGAAGAAAAATATAAGATGAAAATTATTTTCATGAATGTTATTTTAAGGCTATAATAGTATAAGAAAGGATAAATAATCTTCCAAATTTTTGCATATGGAAATAATATTAAGCAATAAGTAATTGGCTTTGCAAATTCTTATTTAATGAAATAGAAGGATATTGGCATTGTATTTTGTCTGTAGTTAATCTCCTAGTATCATTTCTAAATGTTTATTTGATAGCATCTCAGAGTTTTGCAGGAGTATACAATAATAAAAAACAGGCATTCGTAAGGCACAAAACTAAATCTTGAATCTTTCACATTAAGTTTTATTACAAATTATATTTAAAAACCCAAAAATATATAATAATTTATAAAATAAAGTACAGTCGACCCCCCCAATCAATCTTCTGTCATTTATAACAGCTTTGTATATAGTGTCGTGGGAGCAATTGTTAGGTATGATAGAGGTGGCGGAGGAATGATGATGACTTATTCCTTTGATGGTGTTTGAAGAGTAGTTATGTTGTCTGTTATACCAGACAATAGTTTGGAGTTCCTTATTTTTATTCCTATGTCTTGAGTGTCTGGTGAATGGATGATGGCTCAACAAATTGGGGCACTGAAGCTGGCCATCATAAAGAAAAAAACAGATCATGAGAAGGGGCGAGGATTAAGATCATATGGCACATTGGCTTCCTGTAGACTTCAGTTGAGATGCATTCATTGCATAAGTTAAGCTGGAGGTCAAGGAAGTAAACTTGCTCACTGTCCTGTTCTAGGCAGAGACAGAGGTCATAGAGGTTCAGTGTTGATTATGCACCCATAAAAGAATTGAAGGAACTGCTCAAAGGAGGGCAAATGTTTGTTGCTCTCTTCCAATTTGTGCATATCGCTCAATCAAAAATAGTAGTCATGGTGGAAAAAGCCCCATGTTTGAATTTCAGGCTTTTTAAAGGTTTTTGCATCTCTGATCAAATATTCTGGTTGGTCGTAATCTCCCTCTTCCCACTTTTTAATTGGCCTCTAGTTTTGATTGCCAGGGCTATTTGGGAATGAATTCTGAGATCTGTCACATGTTGGAGATGTTAATTGAATTGTTGCTATTTCTGCTTGTAACTCAGAGTTAATTGTATTTTTTTTTTATCCCAGTTATAAATATTGCTAGCTGCACTCATGTGACCTTATTTTTCATTGAACATTTTATTTCACTGTTTTTGCACTCNTTTCACATTAAGTTTTATTACAAATTATATTTAAAAACCCAAAAATATATAATAATTTATAAAATAAAGTACAGTCGACCCCCCCATAATGCAGTAGATACGTTCCACTTTATAAGAATTTCATGTTGTAGGAATCCTTAAATATATGAGCCAATCACAGCCCGGCACATGTGCAGTTTACAGACTACGGCTGTTTGAAAGGTTTTCTTCCATAAAATTAATCGATTCTAGACCAATTTGATTCAACATTTCCAAAACACGTATAATTTTTTGGGAATAATCCGTATAAGCTATGCTATAAACAAAAAGTTGTAGGATTACTTACCGAGTGTGCACCGTTCAATGACGCCATTGCTTAAGTTTGTTTTCATCTCAGAGTAGCGCATCAAACGGTGGGCATGTTTTCTGATAAGTTATTTTTTTACAAAAAATTCGTTGAACTTTGGAGACATCATTAATAGAAATAATTTTTATGGCCATTGAATAAGAAATGTTTTTTTCATAAAAAATTTATAAAATTACAGTACTGTATTAGAATTTATATACTGTACAGATGATAGTAAACTCAACTTACTCGCCTAAACTCTCGTAGCATGTAAGTAGTTTGGCTGCTCGTCCACTATTGGTCCAGATTCAACCAATCCTGTCGCAACATGAGTCAGTGATGACGTTTTACCGCATTTTACGAGTCTCTTTTAGCGTCTTTATACGAATATGGTCGCAATTTTTTCGCCACGATGTACAAATCCGCATTATATGAACCCGCGTTATAGGGGGATCGACTGTAATTAAAACTCAAAAGAATACAACAAATTTTCCAATTATTACATTTGTTTCAACATATAAAAGTTTTAAAAGACCTTCAAAAACCAAATGGAATTCAACTACCAATTTTTATTTTTAAGTAACAGTTTATAATATATACAGAAGAATCAGAATATTATTATTATTATATTGCAGATATCATGCTTGGCTGATACTGGTGCCAAGTGCTATGCTGATTAATGTCAAAGCATAGCTACCCAAACAAGTGTAACATATTGGTTTATTATTATTATTATTAAATGAAGATTCTTCTGTTGGTTTTGTTTATCCAAAATTCTTATTGTCTGACTTTTTAGGCTACTTAGTCATTAATTAATATAGTACTACCATATAAAATTGAGAGAAATATTAGTTCAAAATAATAACAATTACAACATATATTGAGAAATATAGGAAATATGATCTTCACAGTTTCCCTTTTTATATAATTAAATTAAACAATTTGTTTTTTGTTGTAATTTTCTTTATGTGTGTGTGTCAAATTCATTTAACATTAAACTATTTTACATTAATTCTGTATTAAAATATGACAGGTGGAAACTGCAACTAAGATATGAAAATATAATCTTAGCCGATCCACGTTACTGTGCAGAACAAAATGTCGAACAGTCTCTATGGAAATCTGTATTTTATCAAGTTATTGAAGGCCTTAGAAGGCAGATGGAAGAACAGCCTGATCAAAGAGAAGAAGCAAAGAAAACATTATTAAATGCTGTTGATGAGGTACTTATTTGTAAATTATTAAATTTATACAATATAAAATATTTAAATTTAGCTGATTAAGTATCTTAATCAGCTAAAGAACTATTGTCAGATAGCTTTTTAGCTGATGGATAAATAAAAATAAGTAAAACTACTTTCAATATTAGAAATGGTAATCTAACATTCTTCAGAAATCTTTAAGAATATTTAGGATGTGCATGATGTCTTTTGTGAGGTTTATTGAAAGATTTTCTGTTTGAAATTTTCATCTTTATTCAATTCTTGTGAATCTATGAATGATATGACAATGTATTCTTAAGTTAATGTTGTATAAACTTAAGAATTTGTTTTTTTTTATTAACTCAGCTTCTTGTTATTCCTTAATTTCAAAGTTTCTTTGATTAATTTAATCAGTATACATCTGTACATCATTGCTTCATTTTATATTAGAAAACAATATACAATAAAATGTCATTGTAACAAACACTGGTGTAATGAAGTCATCAGTAAAATTAATTTATTTTCAATTTTTTGCCAGTTTACAATGTATTTTAATGTAAAAATGTTTCAGTTTAATGTAATAAAATTCTTTACAAACATAAATGACCATTATCATCATAATGAAATTTGTAAATATATAAATTACAGTCGACCCCCCTATAACATGGTAGATACATTCCGCTTTATAAGAATTTCGCATTGTAGGAATCCTCAAATAGATGAGCCAATCACAGCCCAGCACGTGTGCAGTTTACAGACTATGGCTGTTTGAAAGGTTTTCTTCCATAAAATTAATTGATTTTAGACTAATTTGATTCAACATTTCCAAAACACGTATAATTTTTTGGGAATAATCTGTATAAACTCTGCTATAAACAAAAAGTTGTAGGATTACTTACCGAGTGTGCATCGTTCGACGTCGCCATTGCTTAAGCTTGATTTCAGATAAGTTATTTTTCTGCAAAAAATTTGTCGAACTTTGGAGACATCATTAATTAATAGAAATAATTTTTATGGCCATTGAATAAGAAATGTTTTTTTCACAAGAAATGTATAAAATTACAGTACTGTATTAGATTTACAGTACCTAATTTAGGCCTATATACTGTACAGATGATAGTAAACTCAACTTACTCGCCTAAACTCTCATAGCATGTAAGTAGTTCGGCTGCTCGTCCATTATTGGTCCAGATTCGACCAATTCTATCGCGACACGAGTCGGCGATACCGCATTTTACAAGTCTCTTTTAGTGTATACGAATATGGTTGCACTTTTTTTGCCACAATATACGAATCTGCATTATATAAACACGCATTATAGGGGATTCTACTGTAGTTATCTTTTATTGTCATTGCACACTGTTTTGATGTATCTGCTAACATAAATTTTAGTCATAATTGTCACTTTAGTTTGCAGTATAGTGTTATTAATGCACAATACATTGAAAATGGTAATCTTCAATAATTTTATACTTGTTTCTTCTTGTGTTTTGTTTTGTTGCATTTTATGTACTGTACTTTAATAGGGGTTTTATTGTTGATTTGCTTTTTGTTCTTATGTTACAATTTGAAAGTATGAGCACTATGTTTTGTTTCTATAGAGGACTTATCACACACTATTGACATTGTGAGAGTAATCACAAAGAAATGGATAGACACTGGTTTATTATGATAATGGTATGCATTTCGGATAGGTTGTCTGTCCCTCTTCAACTGTATTTATTACAGTTTGGTGGGTTTACAGGCATTTATTAAAAGGTATATTTTATTTTGTTGCTGATGCATGGATGACTTTATTTTCAGAATTTCTCACAGATATTATATTATGTTTTTTGTACAAATAGTAATTAGAGATTAAAATTGTTGCTTAATGAAATTAATTGTGAAGTAAATAGTTTTGCAGACAGTCAGCTCATACAAACAATGTTCTCTACTACAGAAGCGATCGCTTCTGTATAGATGGCGCCATAAAATTTTAAATGTTGTAGTAGTAAGCATTCTCTTTGGAGTATGTTCCGTTGTGGGTTATACATATAAAATTGTGGTAAATTAAATATACAGTAGAGCATCGATAATTCGAATCAATCGGGTTCGCTTGGAAAATTGATTTTTCAGATAACCGATTATGTACGAAAAATATATTAACCTATCCCATATTGAAATTCGTTCAAATCCTGGCATGTCCTTAAGTACCCTCTCATGGTTGTGCTAGTGCTGCCAGCTAAAATATGCACACAAACAAAAATAATATTGGAGTAGCCCAAGACATAGCTGAAGATTGCAGTGCCACAGCTCTAGCGGAAATTTAAATTTGCTGACTGGAAAAGTTTCGCTTGATTGACATTCAGATAATCGATGCTCTACTGTATTTATGTATTTATTAAGCTTGTTAATTTTGAATATTTGTGAAATTTGTGTAGTGAATGGCTAAATAAAATATAGAAACTTTGATCATATTTTTATATATAATTTTCCATAATTTTTGTGTGAATTTTTACTTGTAACTTAAGTATTTTTAGTTTTTGATCTATTAATTATTATATTCTATATACAAAATGTAACTTTTAAATTGAAATATATTTAAAATTTCTGATTTTACAGGGAACTGTATTTTATGAAAATTTATTAGAAAAACAACAAGAAACATTTGGTTTTAATGTGACAAATTATCTAGATAATGTGGTAAGACCACAAAGAATTCCTGATTCTGTTCGTCTTGTTTTGATAAGTGTGCAGAAAATATTTATATATCTAGGTGATCTGGCAAGGTACAGAGAACAAGCTAATAGTACTTCAAATTATGGTAAAGCAAGAAGGTACTGTTTTGGTTTTATTAACTACAATTTTTAATTTAGATAAAACATTTCATAATTCTAATAATTTTTTTTTTTTTAAATTAATGTAGTTGGTATCTTCAAGCTCAGCAGTTAGCACCTAAAAATGGAAGGCCATATAATCAGCTAGCCATTCTTGCTGTTTATACTGTAAGAAGTTTCAAAATTAATTCAACAGAATTATATTTTTTTTAACAAAATATTTGTAAGTTATTAGTAAAATTGCAATTTTGTTGGTGTTTTTAGAGGAGAAAGTTAGATGCAGTTTATTATTACATGAGAAGTCTGGCTGCCAGCAATCCTTTTTTGTCTGCACGAGAAAGTTTGTTATCCTTGTTTGAGGATGCTAGGAAAAAGGTATCTATTCTTTTATATTCATTTATATTGTTTTTTAAAATATCTATGATACTAAAACAGTGTGATCAAACAAAAGTAAATACTCTCAAGAAGTAATGCGATGATTGGCAACATCTTGAAATGGTAGTGCAACAATCATAATCAACTTGTGTGTTGTCAACTTTGGCTTACGGCATTGCCTAACTATTCTCAAGTTCTAATTTGGTTTGATTAGCTAGTGATACAATGAAAAATTTATTAATATATTTTGCTGTAGCTTCATTAAAAGCAATATGATCAATAGTAAAAACATGTAGTATTAGTAGTGTAGGTTTTTGATAATAATGTCAGAGCATTTGTATACTTGAAATTTCATATAAAGACAAATGCTTTATATGCTTGTACACATTTACTCTGTGCAATGTAACTAGCTTTTCATCTGCTCTGTGCCAGGTTTTATGTNAGAAAAATGAAAATCAAGTTTAAGTCATTTTATTCAACTTTACGTCTGTTTGCCACAAATGTTGAAGTCGTAATATCACTAGAAAAGTGTTAAAGCACATAAAATCATATTAAAATATATACATTTACAAGTATGTACTGTATTTACAGTACATGCATTTGTAAATTTAGATTACTTTTTTTGTACTATATTAAAAACTAAAATTTATTTGTTTGTAAGCTTAAAATAGATTCTTATTAACCATATATTATTAAAAATGCATTTATAAATAAAATATTTAATACATTCTACAAAAACTACATTTGTTTATTTCTTGACATAATTGCCTTAAATGTTGAGACATTATTCCATCACAGCTCTGTTGCTTGTCAAATTGCTCGAAGTAGTCCAGAACAGTGTCTTCCAATTCCTCCTGATCTGAAAAGTGTTTCCCTGCCAAAAATTTCTTTAAAGGTCCAAATAAATGAAAGTCTGAGGGGGCTAAATCTGGACTATAAGGAGGATGTTGCAGGACTGACCAATTCTGTGCCAACCACAGTTTGGTTTGATTTGGTGTGGAGTATAGTCCCTCGGATTTTCATTTATTCAGATCTTTAAAGAAATTTTTGGCAGGGAAACACTTTTCAGATCAGGAGGGAAAAATAAAAATCAAGTTTAAGTCATTTTATTTAACTTTACGTCCAACCGCCACAAATATTGGAGTCGTAATATCACTAGAAAAGCATTATAGCACATAAAATCATATTAAAATGTGTACATTTATAGTAAATGTTGGTAATATAATTATCATAAATCCTAGAGAACGAAACATGAAAGCAATTGTGTTTCTGTGTTGTCATCTTATTTAGCGGTCTTTAAGTGCTCAATATTGGTATTTACCATGGTAGCTCCAATATCTACTGTTTGGCTCGATATTGGTAAATTTAATATAAAATAGTTTTTTTTTCTTGATTTTCTTTTTGAAACCGTGTCCTGTTTTATATTTGTGGCGTAATAAACACTAGTATTGTGTTTTATTNGTATACTTGAAATTTCATATAAAGACAAATGCTTTATATGCTTGTACACATTTACTCTGTGCAATGTAACTAGCTTTTCATCTGCTCTGTGCCAGGTTTTATTTTTGGATCCCTTTTTGGAGAGAGAAGTAATAATAAAATGATAAAAACAATTGTTTATAAATATTTTTGTATATGCAAGAAAAATACAAAATTACTCCTGTGTATTTATAAATAAATATTATTTCAGTATATTTGATAAATTTTTTGTTGATTTCATTTTGATGCTTTCCTCATCTTGAGTCCTGTGCTTGTGTACCTATTACAGCTGCCTAGTTACAGCATTGACTTAATGTACTGTACAGAAAAAAATATACGCACAAAATAATTTTAAATATACATTTCTCTTTAGCTGCTTATAAGATCAAGACAAAAGCACTTGTACACATGAAAAAAGTAAAATAATAATTGTTTTGTGAATGTTAGTAAACAATTGCAAAGTAGTAATATTAAATAATGGAGATAAGTTTGATATACTGTGTATATTAATTTACTTTTATGTTGAAATTATTAATGTATCTTGGTTTAAATAATTGTATGGATTTGCCATTTATTATTTTTTAATTTTATATTTACAGTATGAACAAGTTGAAAAGAAAAGATATGAGGAACAGATTATCCAGAATGAAGAAAGAGAAAAATTAAGAAATGAAATGGAAGAAAGACAAGAAGTATGGATTCATCCTGATGGTTCAAGTTCAAAAAGAACAAGCAAAACTGAAGATGATTCTTCCATTGAAGATTATAATCAAATAACAACATTTGATGTAAGATAATTAGTTTTATACAGGGTTTACTGTTTGGTTTAGTTTATATCAAAGAATATTAAAATTCAGATAATCTTTTATTTAATTTTATTGAACCTGTAACAATTATTCATGTTAAATTAAATATTCTAACATGAAAGAATATTGTTTAAATATTATAGGTTTTAGTATTCTATTTTAAACTTCAAATCTCCATAAAAATGTGTTTGTTTATTCTTAATCTGAACTGAAAAGATATTACTCACACTGTAATTTATTCAAACTTCAATTTTTAATTTATCAGTCTATATATTTATCTTACCTTGAACATAATGCTTAACCGTGTTCAACATAATGCTTTCTCCGTGTTGTTTTTTTTTTTTTTTTTACTTTAAGACTGTTAAGTTAATTTTATAATAATGCTTAAACTGTCTTTTATTCTACCTATTATTCTATTATTTGAAATGATTTTTTATACTTTATTTCATGACCTCAAAATGCTTTAAGTACTATATATCACCGTTTAATGAGTAGGTTCACCAATGGCTTTCTTTCTTCTCATAGTGAGTTTTTTTAAAAAATGAAAAATTAATAACTTATCTTGTAATTCATATTTTTCAATAAATTAGGCAGTATCTACTTTTTCTGATTTGATTGTGAAAAACTCCAATATTCATAAGAAGACAGCAAGTGTAAATAAGTATTGGATACCATGTTTATTTTTATTCTAGAAAAGTTTATACTAAATCTCACAAAAGTCATATGGAAAAATTTTCTAGACTTGTCAATAGATATCTCCATCTGTCTGTGAGGTTTCATGTATGTATGAGGGGAGTCTGATATTAAAGGTACAGGCCAAAATTACACTAACATTTATAATTAAAGGAAATATTTAATACGTTCTACAAAAACTATGTATTTTTGTTTATTTCTCGACATAATTGCCATAAACATTGAGACATTTATCCCAGCGTGACACTAGTTTGAACATCCCCTCATGGTACTATTGCTTGTCAAATTGCTCGAAGTAGTCCAGAACGGTGTCTTTCAATTCCTCCTGATCTGAAAAGTGTTTCCCTGCCAAAAATTTCTTTAAAGGTCCAAATAAATGAAAGTCTGAGGGGGCTAAATCTGGACGATATGGAGGATGTTGCGGGACTGCCCAATTCTGCTGTGCCCCACACAGTTTGGCTTGATTTGGTGTGGAGTATAGTTCCTTGGATTTTCATTTATTCAGACCTTTAAAGAAATTTTTGGTGGGGAAACACTTTTCAGATCAGGAGGGAAAAATAAAAATCAAGTTTAAGTCATTTTATTCAACTTTACGTCCAACCACCACAAATATTGGAGTCGTAATATCACTAGAAAAGCGTTATAGTGCACAAAATCATATTAAAATATGTACATTTACAGTAAATGTTGGTAATATAATCATCATAAATCCTAGAGAACGAAACATGAAAGCATCTGTGTTTCTGTGTTGTCGTCTTATTTAGTGGTCTTTAAGTGCTCAATATTGGTGTTTACCATGGTAGCTGCAATATCTACTATTTGGCGTTGATGTCAGCGCCACTCGATATTGGTAAATTTAATATAAATTAGTTTATTTTCTACTGTCTAAAGATAATTTTAATAACTGTATTTGTTATTTAACCTTACAAAAATTATCTTATTTTATAATGTCTTAGAGCAAACCACATTCACAAATAAAGTCTGCTATGTACTGTAAACATCGCCAAATTGTAAACATGTACATTTATAAGTATGTACTGTATGTACATGAATTCATAAATTTAGATTACTTTTTTCTGTACTATATTAAAAACTAAAATTTATTTGTTTGTAAGCTTAAAATAGATTCTTATTAACCATATATTATTAAAAATGCATTAATAAATAAAATACAGAACTGGGAATAGTAATTTATGGTTTAGCCGAGTGACAAGTAGATTCGGAGACAAGTAAATTCGACTTACGTCGTTTTCCTGGAACCAATTACCGACGTAAGGCGAGGTATACCTGTATA